ATATATATAATATATTCATCTATATATATAAATATATAAAAATATATATAATTTTATATAAGTTTATATGATTATACGTAGAATATTTTTTCTCGGAAAGCTTTCCTACATTTTTTTACAATTATTTGCACTTTTTATTTTCTTCGTAAACCCATGAATTTCAAATACGAAAACCATCCAAATAAATAAAATACATTAAAGGAAACCAAATCTGTATTTTCATGTTTATTATATTCATTACACTTACTTAAAAATTTAGTTTCGTTCTTCGGAGCAATAATCTTCATCAAATGTTTCCGAGTTAAATCGGATAATACAACCATTTCTTTGAGAGCGATGAAGAATTTGTCTTCCAAATATTGAACATTTTCATGTAGGAGCGCCGCCACCAAATTAGCTATTTTAGTAGCAATAGATATTACGCAAATTTATTAAAAATTACATTATAAAAATATATCTGTGAATTTTTAATTAAATACAAAATTAAAATTCTTATTTCCTAACTCAAGCTTCATATTTTAGAAAGCTTAATCTAAAATTTTCAAAAAGTTCACGTCAATATCATATTGATCATATCGGTTTTAATTAGGGATTATATTATTTTCTTTACCTTCGGTTAAGGTAACACCGAAAGCAGCATCCAGATTCATCTGCTCTGGTCTGTTGTTCATGTAGTCAAGAACCTTTTGTAAGGCAATTAATTTTTGCTCTGGAATAATCGATATTTTATTATTCTATTTGGTACACTTGAGAGAGAGAGAGAGAAAACTCCATTTGCCTACATCACATTTGTTGACAGTTTGTTTACATACAAAAATTATTACCCATTTCTGGATTACCTATGTGCACTATTATTAACAAATATAAAATTAAAACGAAAAAATACGTTTGCACACACGTATTATTGAAAACAAATCAATTGCCTACGAGTATTTTTGCATGCAAATATAAAATTAAAATAAACCCTGATGAAAATTTTTCTCAGAATTTTTCATGTAATTTTTCAGAATTTCTATATAATTTTATAATTTTCTCACATTTTTTATACGAATTGGAACATTTCTCAGAAAATCTACATCTTTTTTCAGAATTTTTCGTATATGTTAATTATCAAATATCGTAAGATTTATAAGATTTTTTGTAAGTATAATTTCTGATGAAATGTCTAAAAAATTTTTAAATATTTTTTTTTATGAGATAAAAAATTTCAGAATATTTCAGAATTCACTTATATAAAAAATTCTGAAAGAAGATGTAAACATTTCAAATATTGAGTATTTCTGAAAAATGTTCCAATTCGTATAAAAATTATGAGAAAAATTTTAAGGAAATTATGTAAGAAAATAATTTGTTTTTTAAGCAGAGAATTTGTGTTTTAAAATAGAGAATTTATATTTTTAATGCTTACAGGCGATCTGTAGGGCAAAAATGTACTGTGAGCAAACGTGCCTTCTTTTCTTAATTTTATATTTGTGAATAGTATATGTAAGCAATCGATCTGTAAGCAATAATTTTTATGCAAACGAATTGTCAGCAAATGTGATGTAGGCAGGTATTGTATGCAATGAACTTGTAAACGGAGTTCTCTCCACTTTGAGACAAGTTCTTTCACAAATGTATTCAACAATAAATTTAATAAAGACCAGAGGCACATTAAACATATTCAATATATGTTTCAATATTCTAGAAACATTTTGTAATAACATATTTCTATACAATAAAAAAAATTTCTTTACAAGTTTACATAAATCTTTTATCACCCTGTTTACTATCAATTCACTCACGGAAACTTTCGGGATTAAACGCCGCTTCAGTTCGTAATGAGAAGCAAGCGAACAGAAGGAGGATCCTGAGGATACTGGAAAATCCTGGAACTCTAGTTTCCATTGGAACGGCTATGTAAAGAAAAACCAATAAACTTCATTTTCATGCCGTTTATATAAGCTGAATCCCCACCGTGGGCACATCGACTAAGCTAAACGTCGGCGAAATTTATCGTCAATTGCTTCTTCTTTGATGAAGAAAAAGCGCGATGCTCTCGAAGCGAATTGGTAAATGCCGAAGCACGTAGTACTACTTTTTCTTCATGAAACAGACGTGTCCTGACAGGAAAAGTGTTCTCCACGGGACTTGGAGATTAACAGCTTTCCGACCATATCTGCGAGAGATTCGCTCTCTATTTTCAGCGACGATTCTATTTCGATTTAAAAAAATATATTATTTATCATACAATTACAATAGCTTGTAATTAAAGAATATACCTTTTTAATAAAGATCCTAGAATAACAAAATCCTATATTTAAACTTATTGTTCCTAATTTATAACAACAAATATACAAAAAATATTTATCTCTTGATTAAATTTAATCTTTTTACATACTCTCAAGTGTTAAAAAAAACTTAAATATATTTAATTTTATGTCGAATAAATATATGAATAAATTTAATTTAAAAGAGCAATCCTCAAAATTAAAATAAAAAAATAAATAGCAAAAAGTTTTTGCCTGTTCTTCTTGAATAAATATTTCAACTTAGATGCTATACATTAATAGTTTTAATTATATTTAACTCATCCAATTATTTACAGATAGTTATTTATTATTTAATATATTATTTTTCTTGAAAAGTTATTTTTTTAAGAGAAAGAATATTTAAAATAAGTTTTTAAATATTTTTAACCAATATTCAAAGATATATTTTCGAAAAATTTATATTTTAAATCATTGAGGATTAAAAAGATATATGTATTAACAAATAAATTTAGGTTTTTTTCGAAAAGATTTTCGATTCGCAAGTTACTCTCATTTATTATTGGATATGATAAATGAAAACTTATATCTTAAGATAAATGAATGTTAAAAAATTTGTAATACATAATATCTAAAAATAAGTCGTCTCCTGTTTATTTATTCGTAAATAACACCACTGTCATATATCATACAAACAACTTACAATATTATGTTAGAATTAATTACATATACAAAATAAGACATAAATAAGTTCCTTATTTATATCTTTTATATTCTTTTTTTTTTTATAAAGATATCTCAAATTCGTATCATATTTCTGATTAAATTTATCTTATATTTTTGCATGCAGTAAGTAAATCCTCGTAAATTTTCTGCTATATTTATTTCTTATCTTCTGTTTAATAATTGATCATAAATGGAAATGGTCGCAGCAATAGAAAAAGTCGAAAGATGTCTCACGCACAGCTTCATATATTTCATAAGCTTTTATTAATCTTACTAGTATTCATTTTCTTAAGAGATTAAAAAAATCTCTACTTTTCTCAAAGATTTTCAAAGACTTAGGAAATCCTATCTAAAAATCCTATCCTTTATTACAAATTTCTATAATAAAATTATATTAATTATGCTCTTTCTTATCAGGTTAATTTGGACAATGTATAATTCATAATATAAATATGTTATAACACACATATATAAGATAAGATAATATAAGTTAAATATATTATAAAATTCTTAAATTAATATATATATATGTCAAATGCATACGTCAGTCTGGCAAGTCCAAGTGCTAATAATAATAACAAGTACTGAGCGCAAAATTGTACTCATAACTTGAATTTTTTTTAAATGTATAATAGCTATCGATCATCAACAGTTGACACTACGTTTTAAACTAATCGAGTAAGGTCGTGTCTCTACTTCTTTTACCAAAGTAGAAATTATCTCATTCTAGCTACATATATATATACATATATATATTAGATACGTAAATTAAGAATATCACGTCAATCTGATCTTATCCATTTCAATCACAGATCATCATGTTGGTCCGCATTGTCTCCGAATTCGATCTCTAGCTGCAGTCTGTAATCCATGGCAACAAAGACAATAACCAGAAGCACAGGCAAGCGAAATCTAGACTGCCATCCGAGTTTCAATATAAACATCAAGGAACGATGAAGGGTGCCACTGTTTCCCAGAAAAATGTCAGGCATTCTTTGCATCCTTCGATCAAATCTTCGGATATGATTTGGGTGCTTTGTTGTGCACGCTCCTAACTGTATCTCACTAGATGGCGAGAAATAGAAGTCCTCGATCATCCGGGATTCGGTCCATGTTCCTCCAGGTAATCAGATAATCTACTCAACTCTACTTCTTAACGAATGATTCCTCGTCTTGATGGTCAATGTTCTGTATCTAAATTAAGAAAACTTATGAATTCTCTCTTTTTCTTTTTAAAATGTTAAATCATGCAAATGGATTAGCAACGGGTTATTTGACGTTATAACAATACTAACCACATTATCTTTCATCGTCTTTACCATCCATTTTTGACAGTTCTTGGGCTTGACCTTCACACACCATACACAAACACAAACACTTCGATACACTCAGGTACACACGTGAACTCGTAATCTCGCTATTCTATCACAATGAACAGAACAAAACAGATGAGGAGTTCTAATGGATTGAATTTTAATCTTCAAGAATTTTCAATCTTCAAGAATTTTCAATGTCTTTTGTTTTCAATGCATAGCATGAATTCAATTCACGTATATTTGTGTATATATTGTACAACATAAACATATGTTGATGTATATATACGTACTTAGTGTAGATATTGAAATAAAGTGTAGGCAAGTGTAAGCAATTTAATGTAACTGGTGTAGATTGGTGCAGATAGTGCAAAATAAATTTCGTGCATCTTGAACTACGTAATCACAAATATTTCCAACTGATACAATATTCTTATGTTAATCCAGATTACAAAAAAGTTTGAAATAAAAGGGAATCGATTTTGTATCTTGAAACGAGGTGAAAATTACAAAAATGAGCGAATTTACTAGAATACTGATAATTTCATCATAGGTCAACATCTAATAAATTTGCTTATTTTTGTATTTTTCATCTTGTGTCAAGATACAGAATCGACCCCAAGATATCTTAAGACGTCTTTTATTTTTTTTTAAGTGTCATTAAAATCGATATTTATAATCGATTCTTATTTCAAGACCATTTTAATAGGTCTGTTCTTTTTGGCTAAACTTTTACATCAGTTCATCTTTCTTCCTTTTCTTTCCAGAAGGAAAGAAGTATTCTCCTGTTACAGTCGAACGACAGAGGAATGCTCGACTGTAGTTGGTTCTTACATTCTGATTCGGATTAAACCCTCGGTGGAAACTAGACCACTGATGAAAAGTTGGATTAATCCAACTTTTAGCGACATCGCTCTTATGCAAAGATTTAAACACACACATGGAACAGCAAGATGTAAATATAATAAGAGTATTTACTTCTAAGTTATATTCTTTCCGAGGAAAATTTTATTCGAAATATATATAAGACATGTAACGTATACTACAGTAATTCGAGTAAAATTTTTTTCGGGAAGAATGTTTTTTGGAATGTGAGTCTTAGAATATGGATGTCATTGCAAAATTTGATAAAAATATATTCATTTTATACATTTCCATTCGAAATGAGAGAATGTAGTAGAATTAAGTAGAAAAATATAACAGTCTGTTTTATGAAGCGATTATTCAGGTTTGAAAAACGAATTTTCTTTATTTGAATAATTATTAGGGCTACGTTCCGAAATTTTTTCTCTGAGGAAAATTTTATTCGAAATATAGTACATATAACATATATATATATATATATAT